TATTTAAATGCCAAGTCCGTTCCCTGACCACCAAGCTATAAGGTACAACCTCAGGTTTCTGAGATACTGCATCACATTAAAATGCACTCTCACACAAACTCTCACCCCTACAAGATTACTTACTTATCCCCATTAGCACAAAACACAGTGCTTAGAAAGACAATCATTCATCAAACATCATTTTAATAAAGAATCTTTGCAAATAGACATATTCCAAATAGCACTATTATCCCAGCATTATCTATTACCAAAGCCATATACTTCTTTACAATCCATGTTAAAACAGATTTAAATCAATGGCAATGAGCACAATTTAATAAGAACTACTTACGTAAAATATAATGTCTAATTTGAAAAAAAAAGTCTATAGGTCATGATAGAACCAATAATAGAAATATGTGAAAGATCAAACAATTTTCTTTACTGTTTCCCTTCACATACCCTCAGTATTTCTTAAATCTACCTAAATGTTTGTATCATAAGTATGTAATTCTTTAAGCTATAGTTTTCAAAAATACAAAGTGAAAAACAAAAAGCAGAATACCTACCCTCCACTCTATGGAGCCTTTTTCATTGTTTATATGAACTTTTTTTTACAAAAATTTTCTATTTCAATCACATGTTCTCCTACCATTATCACATCTAAGAAAAGTAGTTGCAATTTTGATATTGGCTCATATCCAATCCACATTAAAATGTCCCAAGAATGTTTTCCGTAGGTTTTTTCCTTGTTGAACATTTAGGTTGTTTTGTTTTGTTTTGTAATGTTCACACACTACATTTGGTAGTTATATATCTTTAGTCTCTCTTAATCTAGAAGTCCTCCTTTTATTTTTTTTAACATTGAATTTTGTAAAGGGATATGAACAGCTGTCTTACAGAATGTCCCACATCTTGGGACAAATTGAATACAAATTGGGAAGTGCAATAAATGTAAAATACACATCAAACAGGAGGACTTAGCATAAAAGAGAATGTAAACTATCTTATTAATCATTTTGATTACATATAGAAAATCCAATCTTTTGGACATATTGAGTACTATAAAATATATTTTCAAAATTAGTTTTATCTTTTTATTTTTACTTTTTAATGTTGCTACTACAAAATTTTAAATTACAAATGTGGCTCACATGACATATCTATTGGACAGCCCCAGTCTACAAGTTTAACTGGATTCAGACTAAATGTTTTTGTAGATATATTAACATTTGCTAAGTGATGTTGTTTACTCAAAATCCAAGTGATGAGTCATTTACTACAATCTATTCTACTGTGAGTGATACCAGATCTGATCACTTGGTTAAGGTGCTAACTGCAAAATCTTTAACTGGAAAAGCACATTCTCCTTCCAATTAGTAAACACTTTGAAGAAAATTCTTAGATACAACTTTTTTCCGAATGGTTTAGGGTTCGTTGACAATCCTTGCCGGAGTCTATTAAAACAATGCACATTCCAAAGTAATAGCTGGAATTTTTCTGTAAAGATCATTCCTTTATTTTCTCTACATCTCATACTTTCTTTCAGCTTCCCTCCTCTCAGAATATTAGGGATTCAACAGTTGCATTCAGTATCTAAAAATCGATTACAGTTATGATTTTCTTTGATGCTCAAATTTTCCCAGAGTTGGCCAGTGGAAGCCCCTTCCAGCTAGCTCCAGTGTGTGCTTTTGACTACTCCATTAAACTCCACTTTCTTATTTTCGGGTGCCACAAGATACTCCAGGCTCACTTTGTATTTTTCCTGCCCCAGACCTGGCTGAAATTAACTATTGAGGCGTTATTTCTTTTAGGGAGGAATGGTATTAAGAAATCAAGATCTGATACTAACAGTGCTCATTGTTACTGTCCCTTTCAGTAGGCTGAAAATGAACTATTGAAAAATTATGAATTCATATTGAAATTTCCAATTCAAATTTAACATTATTTTAAAAATGTATTTAATTTCCACATTTGTATTTTTTTCTCTTACACTGAAAAGTTTGGTTTCTTGTAATATTAACATGTTTATTAATTTATCTTATAATTTATAGTTTCTAATAATATTAATATATTTACTAATTTATCTTACAATTTACTACTAACAATGAATCTATTGAGTGGAGTTTTAAATTTCCTATAAAGCCAGAGCACCATGATCAAAATTAACTTTAAATAATTATTTTCTGTGTGTGTGGTTACATTACCAATATTATATTAAGATATTTATTGCCAGTTAAAACAACACACACACAAAAAAAACAAAATGTACTTTTGACCTTCCACCACCCAGGCCACAAACGTGTGATGTTTACGTAGCCATTTACCACAATCAAGAGCCTGGACCACAGAACAGATCACCAGCGGCATATGGCTCGGGTATGGGCAACGAACATCACTCGAAAAGCAGAAGTTAAGACAGAAATGAGCATGCGCCTGTCTGAAGCTGAGGAAGAGACACATCAAGACTAAGGGAGAGAGTCCAGGAAGGGTAAAAGAGTGAAATGAAGAGAGGCTGGTGAATGACTAAGAACGGTTGAATAGGACAAATAAGTTCCAATGTTCAACAGCAGACTAGGGTGACTACAGTTAGCAATATATTGTATATTTCAAAGTAGTTAGAATAAAGGACTTAAAATATTATCAACACAGAAATGAAATATACCCAAGATGATGGATACTCCAAATATCTGGACTTGATCATTACACATTCTGTGCATGTAAAAAACACTCTCATATACCCCATTTCATAAATATGTAAAATATTATGTATCATAAAGGAAAGAACAAAAAAGACTGAAAGAGAATGCATATGCTGTGCTCCACGCATCCGACATACTTCTGCTCTAAGCAGGGAAATTGATTCCAAAGGCTGGTTTGCGTTTCTTAAAATAAGAATAATTAAAAACAACAATATGTCACTTATTTCAGAGCTGGAAGATATAAATAAACTACCCAAATCTTGCAGTTATGTAAACTGTGAAAATTAAACAAACTAGCTACCTTTTATGATTCAGTTTATAAAAGTTCTTCCCTGCTCCTCCATTGCGGTCCCCTTCGAGATCCATCCCGACCTGAAGAGAAACCGCAGCTCGTTAGCCAAATACATGACCCGCAGGAGCCTGAGCTGAGACTAACCACCAGTCCTCTGCCTAGCCCAGAGAGCAGTAAGGGGGAGCGCTCGCCGTGATGCTCCAGCTGCTCTGGCCACGCTGGGTACTGCAGGGGCTTTCCTGTGCGCGGGGTCTCCAGCCACTCCACGCAGGCAGAGTTCGGGGTCTGACAGCGCGCTCTGAAGTTTGCCCGCCGCGAGCGCGGTTCTCCCTCCCGGTTCCCGTCGCCGCGGACAATGCTCCCTCCCACCCGCCGCCCGCGGGCTCAGTGACCAGGTCCCCGCACCGCGCGGGCTCTGCGCGCTCCGGTCAGCATGGTCCAGTGCCACTACGGTTTGGGCGCTGCTCCAGGAGCTCCCGAGTCTACATCTCACCCTACTTGGTCCCCAAGGACTTGCAACAGGACTCCTCCACACCATCCACGCCTCGAGAAGCCCTTCTCCCGCGAGGACCACGTACAGGGAATCTGAGAACCTGACCCTTCTTGGGAACTATCCCATAGTAGTTCCCAAGTTCGCGTGCGCCTACCTCGAGCTCCTTTGAACGGTCACTAAGACGTAAAATTTTGGAAGAAGAGACTCTGACTTCGTGGAAGGAAAGACCTAGTGGAAACAAACCGCGGCGTCGGCTTCTTCGAGCTTGGAGGAACCGCCGCTCGAATGAGCCCAGGCTTCCTGTGGAAAAGAGGACTAAGCGTCAGTGCTCGGTCCAGCCCCGGCGCTGTCCTGCGCAGCCAATCAAACCTCACCGCAAATGAACGCTCCCGGCCTGGCTTGACCGAATGTTGATTCCTTGAGAAATTGCGAAACAGATTGAATCTCCAGGAGGAATGTTTATGGCTTCCGTTGCACCTCTCTGGAAAGGGCAAGTAGAGAAACGTGCATCAGCTGAATCATCGGGGACATTTCAATTTACAGAAACATGTCTCTCAAAGTTCACAGAAGTCTTCATATCCATATAAGAATACAGGATGTCGTTAAGGGAAATTTTCTCTGGATTTGCATTTAATACAGTTAATACAAAACCTCCGATCTCTCCAATTCTGTAGCACCTTTCTGCTAACACCTGTAAAAAGGCCAGGAGAAATTTTTCTGCAGTGGACATTCTTCAGCATGTTTGACGGTTTCTCAGTTTTATCTGTTCATCCTTTATTTGATGATAAATGGAAAGAAAGAAAAAGGAAGTTTTAAAAAATATAGATACACTGGTATTTCAAGATAGAAATGGTATTTCTAAGTGTGTAATATTTTAAAACTTTAGAGGTCAGATCAATGCCCGTGTTTTTTCAGAGCATTTCAAAATTCTTACATTTTAATTAAAATTATTAAAATTAACATAGCATGTTGCACATTGGGAGGCCGAGGCGGGTGGATCCCGAGGTCAAGAGATTGAGACCATCCTGGTCAACATGGTGAAACCCCGTCTCTACTAAAAAAATACGAAAAATTAGCTGGGCACGGTGGCGCGTGCCTGTAATCCCAGCTACTCAGCAGGCTGAGGCAGGAGAATTGTCTGAACCCAGGAGGCGGAGGTTGCGGTGAGCCGAGATCACGCCATTGCACTCTAGCCTGGGTAACAAGAGGGAAACTCCGTGTCAAAAAATAATAATAAATAAATAAACAAACAAACATAGCATGTTTTAGCATGTTACATTAGCTTTAATTTCTTTCCATATTTACTGCCAACATTTAATATTTTTTCCTGTCCACTATTTTTTTCAAACTGAGGAAAAGTATGTGCAACCTTCCCAATTCAAATTTGTAAAGTACTGCTAACTCACATCAGAGCTTTTCTTACTTCTTATGAACATAGAGGAAATAGCTTTGTTGTAACCTGTAGTTTGCATTCCATGACTTACACATATTACCTATCAGCTTACTGCATAAGTTTAGAAGAAGAAAATCACTTTGTTTTTTTACTGCATAGTCTGAAGATGTTTCCTCTTTCTTAAAATAACTTATACTTCAAAGCCATAATTTTTTCCTATTCTTGACTACACATTTTTCTTACCTTGATTTATTTTGTGCTTGGCCATATAATGAAGTTTTTTTTTTTTTGTCTTTTGTTTTTTGCTTTTTTTACAAATTGTTAATTAGGCTTCTAACAGGCCTCTATTTTTTCCACATGTTCTAATTGGATATGCATGAGTATAGCATTGTTCACTGTTTAGCGCTTAACAATAACCCTGTGGTCCATCTGGGGTAAATATACAAGCTTTCATCTTCATCACTTGCATTTTTAATCTTATTTATGCCTTTCATCTCTGTTTCCACTTTTGTTTTGCTTTGTTTCTTTATCTCACCTTTTGTTTACATAATATTGTTGAATTTTATGTAGCCTTTTGAATGGCCTTTAACCCTCCCTAAACCATACAGGATATAAATAAAGTGCTGTATTGTTATACTGATTATACTATTTCTATAGTCTTGAGCTTCAGGTAAAGATCTCTATCAAGGATATAAGTAAGTTAAAGATCAGAATAACACAGAGATTTTAAAAATAAGGTTCTACCATTCTGTTATATTGTATTCAATTTTTTTGCTCCACTGACATGAAAGTATGAATATAAAACATGATGGACCTAAAGCAAACTAGCTCTTGCTACTTTCAACTGCCCTTGGCTTATTTAAAGACACCAGTCTTGTATTTGTGCTACCACCACTCCTGTCAAGCTGGACTTGGCTGTTCTTAAGCCTCCTTAATTTCTGGTGAAACCTACCTAGTCTCCTTGCAAGTTGGCACTTATATACCTTCATTCAAGCAGTGCTTTTTCCATTTGAAGTGATTGCCACAATCTGTACTTTCTTGTCATCCACCCTCATGTAGCCGTTTCACCAACGTGTCTATAGCTACCCAACACTAAAGATTTGTCTCTCTGCTGCCTTCTGTTCTTTTTTATCTGTGGGAGTAATAATATATAATGATAATAACAAATAACATTTATTAACTACTGGTCATATATCAGGAACTGCCAAGCACTTCAAAGAGATTATCTCATTTAATCTTTACAAGAATCATATCAAGTAGTTACTGTTGTTGTTACTCCCATATTACAATAAAAGACACTCAGGTTTGCATTATTTGTCCAGTCACACAGCAGGTAAGCTGCTAACCAGTAGACCCTCTCTCATAACTATGCTTTTAACCACTACTCTACACTATAGTACATTATCATAGGACATTCCACTACACTGCCTTTTTCAGCCCCATGAAGTATTTTCTTCTTATGGTTCCATCTTGGAAAACTTGCAATGGCTCCCTGCCACAGACTATATGATACCTAAGAGTTTCTTCTTCTTTCTTCTTCCTCTTCTTCTCCTTCTCCTTCTTCTTCTTTTTCTTCCTCTTCTTCTCCTTCTTCTTCTTTTTTTTGAGACAGAGTCTCACTCTGTCTCCAGGCACCAGGCTGAAGTACAGTGGCGCGCAATCTCGGCTCACTGCAACCTCCACCTACCGGGTTCAAGCAATTCTCCTGCCTCAGCCTCCCGAGTAGTTGGGACTAAGGAGCACGCCACCACACCAAGCTAATTTTTGTATTTTAGTAGAGATGGGGTTTCACCATGTTGGCCAGGATGGTCTCGATCTCTTGACCTTGTGATCTGCCCTCCTCAGCCTCCCAAAGTGCTGGGATTACAGGCGTGAGCCACCGTGCTCAGCCCAGCGTTTCCTCTTAAAAGAACCACAACATAGCACTTCTCTCTAATCATCTTCCTCCCCATTGACATGTACATGTTCACTCCATTTCAGCCAAACTCACTAGACTTCTCAGATGATATGCTGTTTTCATTCTGTGCCTTTCCACATATAAATTGTTAAACTAAATTAATTTACAAAAATTTTCTTCTTTATTACTTGGCTCCATTAAACAATTTGGGCTTCGAAGGCAGAAAAACTTAGATAAGGACCATCTCTGCTGGTTATTATGTGTAGGTTTGAATGAGTTACTTAACTCGGCTGTCCCACAGAGGTACTATCTACTCTTTACTAAACTCTACTGTTCAGTAAAGACATGTGGCAAGATTAAGTGATTTGTATATTTAAAAGGTTTGTACAGTGCCTGGAACACCCTAAACATTCAATATTGCTATATATTAGTAACAATACCCTCTTCTCAATCTCTTTTTGCCCTTCCTTAGCATTCTTTGGCACTCATGTATGTAGTCACATCTATTTATCCACATATGTTTGACCAATTATTCTCATATCCCAGCTCTCTCTGTTCTTTATTATGAGTATTAACAAATTTATAGAAATTAAAGCTGTTTACCTATTTTTCCTTCTCCTATGGTTTTTAATTCTTCTGGATGTTCTTCTTGTGACCCTCTATTGTAAATCTTGTATGTCTTTCTTTCTCTGATCTCGTTAATAATTTATTTTCTCTATTTTTCCTATCTCCTCTATTTAGCCAATCTGAGTCCAAATTGAAGGTACAACACATTTAAAGACGGAATGCAACTCACCTCAACGAACTTAATTGACCTGAGGCAGAGAAAGAATACAAGTTCCAGTCATCTCAATGAACTTAATTGACCTGAGATAGAGAAAGAATACAAGTTTCCACCCAGTTCAAAGAGCAAGATATATGACTCAGTTGTGTTAACAATAATAAGAGATCCACACATTCTCCACCCTTTCATATGTAATGATTTTTATCTATGAAGGACATGTGACTGACCTAACGATGGGGGATATTAAATGACTTTACTTGAACTCACGTTGGATTACATCAGATTGCTTCTATGGATACCTGCACTGAAAGAAAAAAATCTAGATTCTGAAGGTCAGTGTGATCATCTTCAAAGAGGTTGTTTGTTTTGCCATCATTTAGCAAATATTGCAACAGAAACGATTTGTGTGAAATGGTGATCAGATGATGATAAATTAATTTTGATTAAGTCACTTAGTGACTTAGCCATGTGATAAGTCAATGGCAAATAGAAACCTGAATTTTACTCCTCTTTGAACCCTTCCCTATCTACTCCAGCCAGAAATATTTTCTACTACTCTGCAATCCTACTTTTCAGTATCTGTACCTCTCATTTTGTATTTATTATTAATGTTTCATATGATTATGAATTTTTAAAAATATTCTAACTGGACAGAGACTTACACAAAACGAAGTTTCAATAAATGTTTGTGGAAAATATTAAGTGCTGATAATATGACATCAGAGACAGATTTATGGAAATTATCCTAGTAGACTAAATGCCTGAGTTATCATTAGTGTGACTTGAAAGATCCATTGCCATGAACTATGTCCCTTATCAACTTCTTTTTATTGAGACAGAGTCTTACTCTGTCACCTAAACTGGAGTGCCCTGGCATGATCTCAGCTCATTGCAACCTCTGCCTCCTGAGTTCCAGTGATTCTCTTGCCTCAGCCTCCTGAGTAGCTTGGATTACAGGTCTGCAGCAGCACACCATGCTAATTTTTATAATTTTAGTAGAGATGGGGTTTTACCACGTTGGCTAGGCTGATCTTGAACTTCTGGCCTCAAGTGATCTGCCCACCTCAGCCTCCCAAAGTGCTGGGATTATAGGTGTCAGCCACCACGCCCGGCCTCCTCTATCAACTTCTAATATAATCTTTAAACTCCGTTAGAGAATCATCTCTCTGAGTAAATCACTGCCCCCTATTGAAATAAATATACCATAATGGCACAAGAAAAGTTTTTAAATGAATGACAAAATTAAGAGGAGAGAAGACAACTGAGTAAGATCAAGGGAAAGAAGAAAATTAAGTGGCAATTCTTGGAATTCCAACTTCGTGAGTTACCAGCTGCGTGGCTATGAACGAAACTTCATCTCTCAAAAACCTTGATTTCTGTGTCATTCAAAAAAAGACAAAAACAGCATCCACCTAAGGTTTTTGTTAGAAGAAAATAAGATTTGATGTGTGTTTGGTATAAATAGTACTACTTCCCAGATATCCTAATAAAGATGATAAATGGAGTGGCTGGATGCGGTGGCTCACGCCTGTAATCCCAGCACTTTGGGAGGCCAAGGCGGGTGGATCACGAGGTCAAGAGATCGAGACCATCCTGGTCAACATGGTGAAACCCTGTCTCTACTAAAAATACAAAAAATTAGCTGGGCAAGGTGGCGTGTGCCTGTAATCCCAGCTACTCAGGAGGCTGAGGCAGGTGAATTGCCTGAACCCAGGAGGCAGAGGTTGCAGTGAGCCGAGATCACGCCATTGCACTCTAGCCTGGGTAACAAAAGCGAAACTCCGTCTCAAAAAAAAAATAATAACTAAATAAAGATGATAAATGGAACCAAGATATGAATAAACATTAAGAATGTTAGAGTAAAAGTGATTACTGGAAAGGGCTAGTAATGGACATTGAAAGTAAATGATAATATGGAAATAATTATAAGTATTGCTTTTAAAGTAATCTGTAAAAACAAAATTATGAAGAAAATTGAATAAATTCACATTTAAAGCCAACAGCAAACCATAGTTATTTATTGCAAATATCACAACAGATTACTATTCTTAATATATAAAGAACTCATACAAATGGATAAAAAATTTAAAGGCCTAAATAGAACTGAGCAAAAGATACAAATAGGCAATTCATACAAAAAAGTATGGAGTATAGTGGTACTCAAAAGAAGACATATTGAAATATTTATGCTAACTACAAAGAAATGCAAATTACATCAGCAAAGATATTTTGAGAAAATGAGATTATTACATGTTCACAAGCGTTAAATAAAACAGGTGGGAGTTGAAAATTATTAAAATGAATAAGGAAACATACATAAGGGAAACAAGTCTGTTTGACTCATTAATTCAATTTTAGGAAATCTATCTTAAAGAAATAATTCAAAGTACAGGAAAAAATCTCAGCTAAAGGTATTCATTGCTGCATATTTTATAACAGTGAAAAATGAGCAGTTACTGGAATACATAACCATGTGTATGGATGAATTAATTATAATACATTCTCTTTAAAAACGTAGTAATATAAAATGTGCTTACAGAGTTTGTGATAACCTCAGAAAATACCTATGTTAATATGCAAGAAAAAAAGGCAGGGGAAAATTATAACAGCCTAATATTCACTATATCAAGCAAATTAATTGGTGTGATACTAGAAATAAAGATACCAAAGTGTCAAGAGTGATTATCTTTTAGTGACAAAAGTTAGGTCTGAGTTTTTTGCTTTAAATTTTTCTTTATTTGAGAAATATCCCATACTAACAATGTATTATTTTATAATAAATTTTTATAAAAGTTTGGAGATGCAGATGAAAATGAATTTTCAGGATCCTGGTTATTGGTACCTATCTTCGAGTGGAGTTTGGTGCTTATTAAGGAACAGTCGCATTTAGTGAAAGCCAAAATTAACTGGCTAAAAGGAGAAACACTGAGAATTCCCAATATTTTGCATGTATTCAAAAGTTTCTCATATTTCTGAAAATCTTATCCATGTTTCTAAGAAAAGTGAGCAAGGAGGAAGAGAGAAAGAGGTAGAGACAAAGATGCTCTTTAAGTAATAAGAAAATACATGGGAGACTGTAATAACTGATTTCTAGCTTTAGTCATCAACTGTCTATGTAACTTGGACACATTTTTTTTCTAATTACTGTTTTCATATCAGCCTCAAAGATTTACTGAGAAGATCAAAGCCCTGGAGATACTTTTCATAACTAAGCATCATATACCTCCACTTGAGGAAGATAATACAGAGGAGAGAATTCCAATTAAGGACTTCATTGTCATTCCTCTGAAGAATTTAAGTTCTATGAGGGTAGCAATCTTGTCCCTATTTTTATTCTGTATACAAAATGCAGCACATATAGTATGTGCTCAATTTCTCTGTTAGTGGCCTTAGAGAAATGTCCATTAACAGCATTATTTGACATTTTATAGCTTATCCAAACAAATAAAGA